GGTGGTGGTGGTGGTGATGGTGGTGGTGGTGATGGTGGTGATGATGGTGGTGATGGTGATGGTGGTGATGGTGGTGGTGGTGATGGTGGTGATGGTGGTGGTGATGATGAGGGAGACCCGAAAGAGTGAAGGTGCTTCCCAGTACACACACAGAGCCACACTCATCATCCCTGCCTCAGATCTTGTCCAGCACCTTTAGGGCTGGCTGGCGTTGTGTCCTTCAGCAGCCCCAAGCAGGTGGAGAAGTGGAGAACAACCTGAGATGTGCAGCGGGAGCTGTCCTCTGTGACCCCAGGCCAGGGATCCCCAAACTTGGAGTCTTTGTTTCCCCATCTGTCAAACAAGGGGAATGAACTTTGTCACTGCTAAGCGTTGCTCCAAAGTGGGTGGGGAAGGCAGGGTCAGCCTGTTCCAAGGCTCCGGTCTGAACAGTGTCCCCATCGTGCCCACAGACGATGTCTCCTGAGCTTCCAGAGCCCCGATGTGAGGGCCCGAGTGCACGGGAACAGGAAGCGCCTGAGATGCTGGAGGAGACTGCAGCTCAAGCGCCCTCAGTGGCTCCCCGCTGCTGGTGGATGAGTTAGCCCTCCTGGCCCAAGCTTGCGCACCATCTGCCCTGTACCCACCACCTGGGGGCAGGAAGGTCCAGGGTGGTGGCTTTCCAACTCACGGCGAGAGGCAGTTTCGCACCCTGTTGGGGCGCACGCCCGCCACTCCCGCTGCCCTCGGTGAACTCGTGAGCCCTGCCCCTCTCCTCGACCCCTGCACTTGGCCCTCTCTCTCGCCTCTGCCTGTCGTCTTTCCCGTGTGTGGCTGAGCCTCTAGAGCCTGGCTCCAGCCCACACCGGTCAGGCTGCTGGCTCTACCTTTCCCTGCCATTGCCCCGTCTGTGCCTCCCGGAAAGACAAGTGGTTACTCCACGGTAGCCCTCTGGTGTTCCTGGGGTCCGCAGATGAACACCGCTCGGAACCATCTGAAGCTCCACAGGTGTTAATGTGGGGTGGGGGCAGCTGCGAACCCCAGGAGACGCTCAGACCATGTGGCTGGTGCTTATTTAGCTGCAGACAGTGCCTGCCATATGGGGAGAGGGACCTTGCATTGCCAGATGTTCCAAATCTCCAAGAGAAGGCATAAATCCGGGTATTTTTAAACACAAAATCCCTCAGCATTTAAATGTTAAAACTAATTCAAACGCAAAAAAGCACTGTGTGGGCCAAATAAGATCTGCCGGTGGGTGGACTAGAGCTGGCTGGTCTGTGAGCCCTGGTGAGTGGCAGGCGGAGGGAGAGGCCCACAGCAGAGCTGAGAAGGAGCAGCCGAGGTGTGGGGGACGCTGGCAGAGGCCCCCGCGCTGCCTCCCACAGGAGAGCCTCTCGGCCAGCTGCCCTAGCAGAGGCGGGCGCATCCTGGGTGCGAGACTCTCGTGGGCTCCCCGCAGCTCCACCGCTGGGGGCCTGTGAGGCAGAGGCAGGAGTTGTGAGGGCACCGGAGCAGTCACCGGGGGCTCGGTGCTCCGTGACATCAGCTGGCAACAGACGCAGTCGGGTGGCTCGGTGAGCCGAGTAGCCTCACAGACACTGTTCACCTGAGTGCCCATCACGTCCCAGGCACCGCGTCCTGTTCTGGGCGGTGGAGATGAGGAATAAGTCTCCCATCCGTGCAGCGGATGGACGTTGTTCCTGGAGTGGGGGAGGCAGAGAATACGCAAAGGAGTGGTAAGTGGGGCCTGCACTGTCAGCGGAAGAAACAATAGCATCGCTGCGTGTGTGGTGTCGGGGGTGGCTGCTACTTAGAGAAGACGCGTGGGGAGCTGGGGAGCGAGTCTCCGTCCACGCGGGGGCGTCCGAGCAGACAAGCGAAGGGTGGGCTTTCATTCATCCGGGATGAGCCAGGGTTATGCTCAAACTCCTCCTTAGACGCAGCCTCCTGAGGACACCAGAGCTGGGAGGTTGCAGAGATGATGAGGGACCCTGCCAAGCCTGTGACTCTCCGTCCTGCCCCCTGCAGGAGCGTCCGGAAGGTCCACAAACTGCCTGGTGGGCAGGAGTGCTGCCCCGGCTATAGGCGGGACGCTAGGGAGAGAGGGCTTGGGGCTGGTGGGAACAGCAGAACTCCCGGGCCCTCGCCCACAGCTGCCCTGCACTCCCTGTGCGGTGCTCACCTGGGTCTCCCCCAAGTCACCCAACTGCAGCAATGCTCTCACTCACTAGTCCTGGACGGCCGCAGTCCCCAGCACACCATTGTGAGGCACAAGACGTTTTTAAGGTAGACAATGGCTAAGCCAACAGACCAGGAGTTGGTGCTGTTGGAAAGAGAGGAAGCATCCAGCATGCAGGGACGTGTGCGGAGGCACTGCGTTGGTCAGGAGGAAGAGGGGCCCGGGAAGGGCGGGCAGGAGGCTTTGCAGGTGGGAATTGTGTGAGGCATGGGTCAGCACCGCAAATAACTTCAGGCCTCTGGGCATCAGCTGCCCCCAGAGGCTGTGAGCCAGGAGTGACCCTCAGGGAGGAAGGGCGGGTGCAGCTCAGGGTAAGGGCACCACGGTCCCCAGTGAGTTGGGCTCTGTCTTTAAGCGCCGACCAGGCCTGAGCGGGCCAGGCCCGTCCTGGACAACGAGGCCCTGAGGTGTGAACCACCAAGACGTGGCCCGAGGCATGAAGACCACACAAGACCTGCGGCTCAGGATCCACTGAGGACACGTGAGACGCTCGCCTCCCGTTCTTGAGTGTGGGTGGCGTGGCTCTTGTGAACGGTGCTGCTGTGAACATGGGCGTGCAAACACCTCTCAGACCCTGCCTTCCACTATTTCAGGTACAAGCCCAGAAGTGGAGTGCTGGGGCTTGTTTCTGTTTGTACTTTTTGCTTTTTTTACTTTGGCCTTCTGATTCTGAAGTAGTTTTAGAATCACACAAGAGTTGCAAAGATCGCAAGGGAGCCGGGCATGGTGGCGCATGCCTGTAATTCCAGCACTCAGGAGGCTGAGGCAGGAAGATCGCTGTGAGTTTGAGACCAGCCTGGGCTACATAGTGAGTTCCGGGTCAGTCTCAACTACATAGTGAGACCCTGTCTCAAAAAAAGAAAAAAAAAATGATGGCAAGGGAGTTCCCACACTGGCTTTCCAGGGGCTGGCATCTCACACAAGCACAGTATGTTGGCCGGAACTGAGAAACCCATATTTCACAAAACTGTGTGTGAATTCTCTGATTTTTCCACTGTTGTTATTTCTCTGGCCCAGGATCCCACAGTCACTGTGGGGACATGTCCCCTAAGTCTCCTCTGGGCGGGGGCGTTTCCTCCATTTGTCTTGTGTTTTGTGACCCCGACACTTTTGAAGCACAGGGCAGACTTTTCACAGAGCCTTCCTCAGTTGGTTTTCAGGATGTTTCTTGTGATTGGACTGAGACTGTGTGTTTGGGGGGTGTAACACGGGTGTGTGAGCCCGTCGTGACTCAGGTGGCTTTTCCCTTCCTTGATCGACTGATGTGGACTTTCTGTAGTGGTTGGGGACCTGACACATGGCACTGCCCTCTGACCACACACTGGAGAGGGCCGTGGTGGACCTGCCCCACGGAAACGTAACAGGGACCCGTGTGTTTATTTGGCCTGGTGAGGACAGGGACTTCTGGGAAGCGATGGACACTGGCACCGGCAGGAGAGGCGGGGCGGGACAGCATCAGAGGGAGGAAGAGCAAGTCAGAGCCCTGGGCAGGAAGGGAGAGGTGGCAGCGGGGGGCTGAGTGAGCGGAGAGGGCCAGGAGGAGGGCAGCCCCGCAGTACCTAAGCCCCGGGAGGAGACGCCGTGGACAGCCGTGAGCACTGCTCACCCACGGAGAGGCTGAGAGCAGCATGGCGGAGACACGTGTGGGCTCTGACGCCGCGGGTGCTTCCGCACCAGTAGGAGAGACAAACTGAGCCCTTTCACCTACAGCGTGACAGGTGCACAACGCCGCGCCCCACTGGGACCTGAGCGCCCTGAGCGGGTGGGATGTTAACGTCTAGTCCAGGGCTGTCTTCTTCCCTCTCACACTTTCTGTGGCTCTGGCTTCAGTGCTCCCTGAGCAGAGCCGTTCAGTGCAGACACTGGGAGACCTGCACAGAGAGAAGCACACAGCCACAGCTGGGGACAGGGAGGAGCGATGGAGCTGGAGCAGGGCCCTCCCGCACCCCCTGGGGGTGACTGCACATGCAGTGCCTACGGGGAGACGGGCAGCCTGGGCTCAGACCACGCGCTGCCTCCCGCCGGCTTGGTGACACGCAATGTGGCTCATTCTCCGGCGGAGGCGTCGGCACCTGTCTGCCTCACACGGGGCTGTGCATGGACGGTGCGTCAATGTCGGTCACCGGCACGTGGGCCGTGGCACAGTCCTGAGGCCGGGCCTGTGGATCCCGGGGGTGCTAAAGTTGGCATCTCCGCCCTCACTCTGTATGGTCCCTTTATACCTAATGTCTGGGGTCAGATCCCAGCCCGGCTCCGAGTGCACGCACTTTAATCACTTTGTAAGTCCCTTCTAAAAGCCAGTGACCCACGTGCGTTAGCCCAAAATGTCCCCATCTGGCCTCTTCTCCCTTTAAGGCAGAGAACACCCAGAGAAGAGCAACTGAGGTGATTTTGAGGGTTTGCAGGAAAGGCGATCGCCAGTGTTTACACCACTTCTAGACCCCCGCAGCACGGCTAGAAATCTCCAGATTGTCCTATGCCTGCAGCTGCCTCAGGCCCCGGGGAGAGCAGTGCCAGCCCCTTGGAGTCGGGCCTTGGCCGACATAGACTTCAGCATTCTAAAGGCTTCTGAGCACACAGCTCAGAGCCGCCGGGTCCATTCACATTGCTGTGCAGCCGTCACCACCGTCCACCTCCCGGACGTCATCCATTTTCAAGCTTAATCACTGTATCCATCCAATAGCTCCTCACACCCGCTACCTCCCCAGCTCTTCCTGCCCACTGCTCTCTCCTACCCACCACTCTCCGCCTCTGTGAGCTTGAGCACTGCGTGGACCCCATCAACCCAGAGTCCTACAGTATCGAGGCTGGCTTCTCTCACTCTGCCTGACGTCCTCAAGGTTCATTCATGCTGAGCATGTGTCTAATCTTCTCTCTGTTGAAGGCTTGGCACGACTGCATGATACGGAGTGTCAGCATTATAGCTTATTCTAGATGGCCCCCAAAGCTTCACACGCGCGTATGTGGGGCTTTGTGGAGCTGGATGGATCTAGGGTGTGTGATACTGGGGTTAAGGGTATGTGGCACTACATTAGGCCACTGATTTCACTTAGCAGAGCTGTAGGTGTGGCTGAATGGATTTACTGGAGACAGAAGCCCCCCTCTGTATATGCATGGCACCACCCAGATGTCTTATAGCCTGGGTGGGATAAAAAGGAAAGAGGCTGCTGCTCACTGCTTTGCTGCCTCCTGCCTGCTCTGCCATGGACTGTTTCTCCTCTGCCATCCACCCTGCCTTGAAGCCAGATGACTATGAACTGAAATCTCTGCAAACTGTAAGCCTAAATAAATCTTTCCTTCTTTACCTTATGGATGTTGGGTATTTTGTCTCAGCAATGAAAAACTAACTAAGACAGTTGGTGTTCACTTGAGGAACTGATTCTATGTTTTGTTGTTGTTGTTGTTGTTGTTGTTTTGAGACAAGGTCTCACTATGTAGTTGAGACTGACCTGGAACTCACTCTGTAGCCCAGGCTGGTCTCGAACTCACAGCGACCCTCCTGCCTCAGTCTCCCAAGTCCTGGGAGTATAGGTGTGCGCCACCCCACCTGGTGATTCTGTTTTTATACAAAGGATTTACTAGACAGTTTTTCGAATTGGACACACAAGCCTTCCAACAGCTGCCTATGGTGTCAGAGATGGAAGAGGGCGAAGTTGCTCTCTGCATGCTGGAGAGCTGGAGGCTCTACGGTCACCCTGTGAGTGAGACTCTGTCCCTGACATCCTAGGGCTGAGGTTCAGAGACACTGAGAAATGTGGCCCAGGTCACACAGCCAATCGTCAGCATAGCTGGGGTTGGAGAACAGGTTGCACAGCCAAGCCCTGAAACTCCCAGCTCCACAAAGAGCTGAAATGGGCCAGGGATTTAGCTCAGTGGCACAGTGCCTGCCTCACAAAGAGCTGAAAGACTGTTAAAAACAACCATAGTGGTTGTACAATGTAGAGAGGTTCCTTTTCCTCTGCAGCCTCACCTACATTTGCTATTGCTTGGCTTCTCAGTGGTGTCTGTTCTTTCTGGAGTGAGATGGAATCTCAATGTTGGTTTAATGTGCATTTCTTTCGTGGCCCAAGATGTTGAGCAATTCCTCATGTCTTTATTGGCCAATTGTAGCATAAATTATAATAACTCAATCTTGGAAGCAGCCTATGTGCCCATCAACAGGTGGATGGATGAGGGACCTGTAGTGTTTATACAGACTGGACTACTACTCTGCCACAAAGAAAGATAAACTTGAGTCATTTGTAGGAAAGTCGATGCACCTTGGGACTATAATGCTAAGTGAAATAAATTAGACACTCAAGTGTAAACATTACGTGGTTTCTCTTAGATAGAAACCCAAACTATAAATAAAGAGAAAAGTCAAAGATAATAGAAAAGAGGGGAAACATCTTTCTCAAATGCGAAGGGGCCAAGAGACAGAGGGAGCAGGGTGGGAGGAGAGGGGAAGGGGATTAAAAAAGAACTGAATTGTGTCCCACCCATGTGCCACTCCCTGCAGGGATGTGATCAGTGTGCAAACAGTGTGCAACAGGCAGTAATAAGAATAAAAACAGATCTCCCCCGAGACCCAGCAATTCCCTAATGGCACGGACCCAGGAGAAACAGTTCTCACACACGGTCTGGTGTCAGGGTGTGCACGGTCGCTCTGCCCCAGCATCCCAGGCAGAGGGCAGCCCAGGTGCCTTCGGACAGGAGGGACAGATGCGTCACATCGCCCGCCACAGGGGAGCCACACAGGAGGGTTCACACTCCTGAGAGTTCAGGGTTCCGTTGCAGGAAGTGCCAGAGCAGTCAAAGTCAATCTGCACTTGGCAAAAGTCAGAGGAGTGGCTGTCCCTCCAGGAGAAGGCCAGGTTTTAAGGAGGAAGCCATACCTGAGATCTTTATCCAGGACCAGAGCCATATACTTGTCTCAGATGTGTGTATCTCGTGAGATGCAGATCTAAGGAAAAAGAAAAGAACTCTAGGAAAAACTGCTGAAGTGCTCAGGGCGGAGCATGCTGGTGCCTGCAACTTGCAAATGCAGCCCACACACTCAGAGTGGGTTGGTGGACAGGGAGAGGGGCTGCGACGGTGATAACAGCAGGGTGAGGCTGGCATTGGGCAGAATCCAGGCAGGCAGAGTCCTGTGAGGCTTCTTGGACTCAGCTTCGCATCTGAGAAGTTGCATAACAGATATGGAAGGAGAGCTCAGCCTGTGACAACTTCTCACCCACAGGCTCGGCAGTCTCCTTTAGTCACAGGAAAAATCTCCAGGCACCTGGCACAAAGGGTGGGCGGGAGGCTTTATTTAAGGGCTCCCCTCGGGTGGCAGCAGGGGCTGCGCACACAGGAACTTGCTTCCTGTCTGGGGAGAAGCTCACGAGTCAGTGGAGGCCTGGTCTTGCCTCCTTGGGTGGGAGCCAGGGTCCTGGCTGTGCCCTCTTGCAAGGCAGCAGGCTCAGGTACTGGGCTCTGCCAGGCATCTGCTCCCAGTTCTCTGGGGGAGGCCGAGGCAGAGCTGCTGGGGGCCAGCAGACCTTTACACCCGGCTGCCCCCTGGCCTGGACACAGCTTTGTCCCTGCCCCCCCTTCTGTGTGCCGTTCCTTCTTGGAGGCCTGCTTTCCCATTTGTTTTGAAGTTATGCAGTTTATTAATCATTTAATGGACAGAAGGGACAGAAGCCCAACTTGGCCGGCAGCAGCACAGGATCCCTAGATGAGGAGACCAGAGGAAGGGGCTGACGTGTCACGCTAGACACAGGTATGGATGGGCGCCTCTCAAAGGCTTTTAACACAGCTGAGGTCAGTGAGGAAACAGCCCGGGCCTCGGTGCCTGGCACTGGGCGCTCACCTGTCCGGGACTTGACAGGGAAGGCTTTGGAATGGGCAAGATGGTGGTTATCACCAAGATGCAAAGCTGACAGATTCTAGGCTTTCTTCCCTTAAATACAACGATATGATTATTTACAGAGTTCACTTTTACATCGATGGTGAAGCTTAAACTAGAACTTATGCCTAAAATGTCATATAGTTCTCTCCCTTAAATTTATTTGCTAAATATCTTTGATGTTCCGATGACTTCTGGTTTTTACTTTCTTGGTGTCCTTGCTGTCCTTGTCCTTCTTTGGATGTGCCCCCATTTTTAAAAGCAGATGTATTTGGAGGCAGGGTCTCACTGTTTTCCAGACTGGGCTCTCGGATACGTGGGCCCAAGCTGTCCTCTGGCTGCAGCCACCCCGGGCAGCCCGGGCCTCGGCCCCAGCACCACGCCTGGCTTGCTGTCTTGAGAAGCCCTTCGCACATGCACAGCCCACTCCTCACTGCGCCCTCCCATGTCCTCTGCGTGTTCCCGTGGCTGTGCAGCCATTGGCACGACCGGTCTAGGGTCCCTCTGTGCCCCAAAGGAAATCCCAGCCACCCACTCTTTCCTTTAGGCCCCCCGAGGCCTGACACCTGGCTGATCCCACTCCGCACCATCGTGAATGGGGTACAGGCTGTTGTTTCCCTATAGTTCCGTTCCCAGGAGAGGGGTCGTGGGAGCGTGGACAGGAATTTTAACAGAAGCACCGCCAGGTTCCAGCAGTTATGTCAGGTCTGAAAGGGAGGCTGAGACACTGTCCCCATGGGGCAGTTACAGCTCCTGCGTCAGCTTTAATTCCCTCCCACGGGGGAGTCCGGCGTGTCCCGGAGTCACGCCTGGCGTGGGCTCCTCGCGGGTCCTGCCCATCCCGCCCCACGGCCCATGCTCCACCAGCACAGTTTGCCCAGAGCTGGGCCTTGGGGAGCTGAGCACAGGATCTAGCGTGGAGGTGGAGGAAGGGGCGGAGGGGTGGGAGGATCCACAGGGAGCCCTGCTGAGACACGGAGTCTCCAACCTGCCGATTCCTGGAGATCAGGGGTTTTGAGACTCGAAGACTGGGCACGGGAACTCTGGTGCTTCCGGCTAGGGACATCGCTCAGGGCTGCGGAGAGACTCGAGGGATACAGGAGCAGTCACTGAGGGAAGTGGTCTGAGCAGGCCGCACCCCCGACACTGGGAAGGACCAGCTCGGAAAGTGGAGCAGGGTTCCCAGGGTCCGGGCAGGTGGGGCCTCGAGGAAGGGACACCATGGCACTGGGGAGGTGGACACACGGTGGGACACGTAAATGCACACCCGCAGAGTGTGCAAGCCCAGGACAGGCCTGGTGCTCACTGTCTGTGACAACTCGCTCTCTGGTGGGGACACTGGCGGGTGGAGGCTGTGGGTTGTGGGGGCTGAGCACACACGAAGTCTTCATCCGTCCTCCTTATTTGGCTCTAAACTGTAAAACTGTTCTCAGAAAGTGTGCAGAGGGAAATCATTTCTGGCTCTCAGCGCTCTGGATACCTGGACTGGTCTGGGTTTGGGGCGTGGTCTGTGTCGCTCTTGGAGATCTTCTGGGCACCAGGACCCCCTCTTCTTTGGGGGTGGCAGTCAGAAGTGTGTCAGGCACGGCCTCGTGCTGTCTGGGACCCTTTTATTACTGCTGCTTGGTAATTACCCAGGACTGTAATTACCCAGCCAGGGCTGGGAGCTCGCTGCACAGTTGCCAGCTGGTCCCCAAGACTGCACCACGACTCCTCCCAGATCCCAGAGACTCTGCCAAACCCCAGAGCCCTGTCACAGGGCTCTGGCCTTGAACAGAACCTGGCTGCAATGGCTGGGGAGTTTAGCCATTTATCGGGAGGAGGGCACTGCAGCCTCCGGTGAGTCAGCCACTCTCCCACTCACCAAGGACATAGGACTCAGTTCCTGGTTTATCCTTAAAGAGCTGACGGTGTGCAGGGAGGAGAGGAGCAGTTAAGACATTGAATCACCCGAGGAAATGCAAGAGCCAGCAGGAACTCAGTGGAAAGTGGGAGGAAACATGTCAGGAGCCCCATGTACAGCTGCATCAGTTGAGCACTGCACAAGTCTGGGGTCATCGTTCCCCAAACTGTGAACGTGAGGAGCTTTGTGAGACTTCTAGGACAGGTATCCAGGGGTCACCCAGATGCAGGGCTGGAGCAAGAGCAAGGAACCACGGCCTCAGAGAAGGCGAGGGGGTGGCTAAGACTTTCGCTTTCTGGGACTTCCCAGGTGCGTCTTCCACGGTGGCGGACTGGACAGGGTAGACAGCGGGACTGTGAAGAGGGACAGCGGACACCAGATTATCAGGCCAGAGGTTGTTGTTCCTTCTGTGTGCGGACAGGGCTCAAGGGCCTCTGACAGTGTTTATTTAGTACACTGCAGAAGATCAATAAATTTTCCTGAATAAGAAAAATGAATGTGTCAGGCAAAAGAAATTCCACAGCGAGGAGAATCCCCGCCGTGGACACGAGGGGGAGCCCGAGACACCCGTCCTCCCGAGGCCCGGGGCGGGCGGTTCTCGCGGTGCCGGGACCAGGACCTCCGTCCCGGCTTCTGCCGCCTCGGAGCCCAGGCTAAGGTGACACAGAAGGCGCAGGCCTCGGTAGGCGCG